AAGAACAGATAACATTTAACACATTTTAATGCAATAAAAATTTCTGGTCAGAGTCCCCCTTTAAAACTTTTCCAAGGGATTTTTTGTGTCCAAAAACACCAAGTCTAGATCAGAAATCTATAAAAAATGAATTAAAAATATAATTTTTTCAAAATTCTAAAATTCTAAAGATCTAAAATTCTCTTCAAAAAGTTGAATTCAGATTTTGGAGCTTCGAAATTGAATTGGTGAAATACATAATAAATAATTTATTCAGAAAATCAAAAAAAAAAATAAATAAAAACTCAAGATATTATAAAAAATTGTTTCACAACTTTTTGATAATCCGGTGAATATAAAAGAACAATTAATGGACGAAAATTGGAGCCAATCATTTGAAAAAACTGCATCATTTCTACTGGTAATACTGAGCTGGACCTGGAATTTTTTTTTTGAAAAATGTATTGGGATTAAAAAAAAGTATTACAGTAATCCAAAAAAATATTTTTTTTTAATTACAGTTTTTCACTTTTTTGAAAAAAAAAACAAAAAAACTCACTGGGTTACTATACCATTTTCTGAAACAAAAAAGTTCAATTTCACAATCATTATGGAAATTTCCAGAATCAAATTGAAAATCACCAATTTCGCAATTAATCCAAACTTTTTCTTAATCAGCAAAATTGGAAAAACACAGAATGACAGAAATCTGATAATCTCGAAAACGGAGAAAACTCTGCTGACAGTTTTGGTACAAATCACCCAAAAATTTTCGGGATTTTCAGCCAAAAATTGTTGATATAATCCATCAGAATTGCATTTGGAATACGGTAACTCAAGGAAAATGAAAAATGTGAATAGAAAAACTGAAAAGACGTGTAGAAAGAAGAATATCGAACAATAAATTGAGTATTTTAGGGATTTTTGGAAATTCAAACAACGATTTTTTGAATTCCAAAGTGACAAAAATGCCAGAAGAAATAGAATCCAATTGGAAATCTGGTTGCAGAAGAGTTCAAAAAGTAAAATTAGATTTTTCAAAGCAATATCTATCAAATTGATATATCCAATACAATCTTTATGATCAATATATTTTATAATCTGCATACATTTTTCAATCAATAATAAAAATGGATAAACGATATCGGAAATGCAAATTATTGCGAAAAATACAAAATCCGGGCAATTCCTCCAATTTCTGGTTAGGAAAAATAGATGGATTAGGTTTGTAACGAATGCCAAACATGCGAAAATTAAATTCAAATATTTGACAAGATATGCATAATCCCAAACGCCCAACTCCATTTTTTTTTTGCTTTTTGAATTTGAGAAAAAAAAAGAAAAATAAATTTTCGAAAAGTTTTCTGATTTGTTTTCCTAGTCAAAACACATGAAAAACAAGAAAATTTGGCATATAACAAATATTAAAATTTGTCATTTTGATTTGAAAAAATAATTATAGCCCAGCCCCACTAAAAATTTTGGGTTTATTTCCTTGAAAATGGCAATATTTTTGAATGGGAAACTCGAGAAAATTATTGTTTTACAATGCACGAAAAATGCGTCAAGGCACGGAGGAAGAACACGTCTGGGTGCTGAAAACGCGTCAAGGGACAAAATATGCGCCAACGCACCGAAAACACGCCAAGTCACGGAAAAGGCACGAGACATGCGTCAAGGGTCGGAAAACGTGTCAAGGCATGAAAAATGCGCCAAATCGCTAGAAATACGCCAAACTACTCTGGTGCGTTGACCCATTTTTCGTACTTTGAATTGTTAGCAAATTAAAAAAAAAATTTAAGCAACAATTCATTTATTCATCATAAAATAAAAAAAAAACCAACAAGTAAAATTTGAAAAAAAGAAGATTTCGGGATTTTCAAAAATACTAAAAAATCAATTTTCGAATCCAAATCCAAACTGAAAAAATCAAGTAAACTGGGATGGATAAAACAGTGATTGCTCCGATGAAACTCAATACAAATTGGATCCATTCGTATTGATTTTTTCCTTGAAATTGTCCTTTTTTCATGAATTCGTCAAATTCTCCTGGTCCATTATTGCCAACATAGTCTGTTGAATCCGGATTTTGAGGAACCTGAAAATTGGGAGAATTAAAAATTTTTGAATTTTGGAATTTCTGAATTTTTGAATTTTTGAATTTTTGAATTTCCGAATTTTTGAATTTTTGAATTTCTGAATTTTTGAATTTTTGAATTTTCGAATTTTTGAATTTTTGAATTTTAGGAGTTTTTGATTTTTGAATTTTAAAATTTTAGAATTTTTGAATTTTAGAATTTTTGAATTCTCGAATTTTTGAATTTTTGAATTTTTGAATTTCTGAATTTTTGAATTCTGGAATTTTTGAATTTTTGAATTCTGGAATTTTCGAAGTTTGAAATTTTTGAATTCTGGAATATTTTCTAAAATCCAAATTTTTTAAAATTTTAAACTCAAAAACTAAGAAAACCTGTAAATTTTTAGAACAAAAAATTATTCTAAATAATTTTTCAATATTCAAATTACCGCTTTTTTGTGAACACTTTTCAAACTTTCGGGTTTTTCGATAACTTCAGGAATTTCCAAGTTTTCACAATCCAAATTTTCTAGCTCAGCATTTTCGACGTCTTCAGAGTCTCCAGAGTTCTTCTCAATTCCTAATGACTTGAAGTCGTGTCCCATGTAGTCGTTGAGCTCTTCAGAATCTTCTTTGAGCTCTTCAGAATCTGAATCGCCGTCGTGGTTTTCAGAAATAAATGAAAATGTGTTTTCCAGATAATTCATGAAATTGTGCATCATTTGAATGGAACAACCATAATCGAACGTTTCGAAAAGCTCTTTTTGAGATTTTCGAAGAATTTCAAAGATTCCAGAATTTTCAGACCTTTCCGAACAGTCGGAAATAAGATTATCCGTTTCCAGAATGATGGATTTTTTGAGATTCGAAAAAAAATTTTGTTAAAAAATTCTGATAATCATTGAATTTTCCAGAATGTCCAGACGTATTTGATACTTTTTTCAAAAAATTTCTAAAAAATTCGAAACTTAGAATTCAAGAATTCAAAAAATCACCTCAATACTTTCCTCGGATCTTTTGAAATCCTTCTTCAAATATTCTTTCAAAGTATATTGAAGATTTTCGAGTCCTTCAAATCTAGGAAATTCAGAATGCACGTCTTCTGAATCTTTAGAAACATTTTTAACATTTTCTATAGATCCTAGAACATTTTTAAACGATTCCTTGAAGAAATTTTCAGGAGTATCCAGAATTTTCAGCTTTTTCGAATATTCAATTTGCTGATTTTTGGTTTGGAAAAATGGAGAATTCCTAATCAGAAGATCTCGTTTCTTTGGAATTTCCAGAATCAATTTTTGAAGGTTTTCCAGAGTTGTTTGAGTCTCCCGAATGTTTCGACAATGTTCTCGGTGGTCGAATTGCCTCAAAATCTGGAAAAATTAGAGTTTTTTGAATTTTAGGAGTTTTCGAATTTTAGAATTTTCGAATTCTCGAATTTTTGAATTTTTGAATTTTAGGAGTTTTTGAGTTTTTGAATTTTAAAATTTTAGAATTTTAGAATTTTAGAATTTTAGAATTTTAGAATTTTAAAATTTTAGAATTTTAGAATTTTAGAATTTTTGAATTTTAGAATTTTAGAATTTTAGAATTTTAGAATTTTAGAATTTTAGAAATTTAGAATTTTTGAATTTTAGAATTTTTGAATTTTAGAAATTTAGAACTTTCGGATTCTCGAATTTTTGAATTTTTGAATTTTAGGAGTTTTTGAATTTTAAAATTTTAAAATTTTAGAATTTTAGAATTTTAGAATTTTAGAATTTTAGAATTTTTGAATTTTAGAATTTTAGAAATTTAGAATTTTAGAATTTTAGAATTTTAGAATTTTCGGATTCTCGAATTTTTGAATTTTTGAATTTTAGGAGTTTTTGAGTTTTTGAATTTTAAAATTTTAGAATTTTAGAATTTTAGAATTTTTGAATTTTTGAATTTTAGGAGTTTTTGAATTTTAAAATTTTAGAATTTTAGAATTTTAGAATTTTAGACCTTTTGAATTTTAGGAGTTTTTGAATTTTAAAATTTTAGAATTTTAGAAATTTAGAATTTTAGAATTTTAGAAATTTAGAATTTTCGGATTCTCGAATTTTTGAATTTTTGAATTTTAGGAGTTTTTGAGTTTTTGAATTTTAAAATTTTAAAATTTTAGAAATTTAGAATTTTAGAATTTTAGAATTTTAGAATTTTAGAATTTTAGAATTTTAGAATTTTAGAAATTTAGAATTTTCGGATTCTCGAATTTTTGAATTTTTGAATTTTAGGAGTTTTTGAGTTTTTGAATTTTAGAATTT